AGGAATGCCCTTAATAACGTGCTTGAACTTTTGGTCAGCCCTGAAGTGGTCAAGCAGTTGGACTAGATAATTGCTTTTGGTCCCTTCCAACTGAACTATTCTATTTCTACTGTACTGTACTGCACTGCACTGTACTCTACTCTACTCTTTTCTGTATTTGCTTACCCTGAACATTGTAGTTGTATTTTGTGCTTTTCCACTTGTGGATTCCCCTGGCAGTTTTAGCAGATCAACAAGGGAGCAAAAATGTTCAGGGCCATGAAGGTGTACCTCACACAGGTGATAAGAAAACTCCTCACTGGAGCTGTGAATGGAGACAAGTTCCTGTCATAATAATCTGATTGATCATATAGCAGGAGAGGATATGTTAGTTTGAAGTCAGAAACAGATGGTGGTCAACAGTGCTTCTGAAATGGATTTATGGGAAGTCTGGTGTGTTCAAGAATTCCTGGCTGGCTGCCTGGCCAGCCATCTCCCTCCAAGGAAACTGGTAAAAGCAGTTTATGTGTAAAACTTGAAGCAGGTGATAGGTTACTTCTTCTCCTAGCAAGATGAAATGAGAGATGAAAAACTGTTTTTCTCACTGGTTCAGTTTTAACTGCCCCAAACTGTTACTGAGAGTGGACTATGAAACATGTATGTTGAGAAAATAAATTTGAAGTTATTTCATAAGTTCAACAAGATTCACGAGTAAGTAAATGTCAGGACTTGAGTGAGGAAGTATTAATGGACTACATCCTCAGAGAAACCCTTTCTAAAAGCATAGCAGGTGTGATGAGGACACCAACAAAGTTGTGAGAGACAGTGTGAAAAAAGAAAAAGTGAGGGAAGAATGAAGGTTGAGACATGTGATAAAGAATAGTTTTGATCTATCCACAGCACTCCAGTTATACTTACTGTAGGAAAAAATGCAACAATTTTTTTGTTAAAAGGCACCCACATGCTACTGCAGTGATTTAAAATCAATGAAATGCAACAGTTTTTGTAAAGAATATGAGCAGACAGATTTTTAATCAATTTTCCTGTAATAGTTCTCACTTGCCAATTTATTGGTGCCATTCTCTAGCAGCCTTTCCTGGCTGGGTGTGGGTCCCACTATTCTGGTTTAAGCTGCTGGCTGTCTGCTTCCATTATGGAAAGAGGGCATACAAGCCAAGTCCTGTTTGTGCTCCTGGCTGTATAGCACCAGTTAAATACTTGAGGAAGAAAATTATAGGTTGTAAAGGATGGTTGAGCCGTGTTTGCTTAGAAAATGAAATGTATATGTCAATTTTGTTCAGACAGAGATATTAAATAAACAAATAGCATCTAATCAGCTTTGGTCCCAGCTCTTCATCTCGGTGTGCAATTCCTTTTTGGGGGGCTTCTGCATGGAACTTGTTCTTGGAAAGACTTTAGGGCTGAAGTAGGGACAGAAAATCACAAAACAAGGCAAAAACATATTATCTTCCTGTTCACGAGGGTACAAAAGACAGAGAAATAACCCACAAATCACTTGAAAAATGGGCAGATTTAGTTAGTCGATGACTTATCAGCCTCTAGTCACTCAGTAGCTTGTGTGGATTACAAAATTCCAGGGAATGCCCTAGGATAATTGTGTGGAACCTCTTTGTTTTTAGAATAGTTGTATTATAGTAAGTGGTAAGTTTGGGTGCCAGCCACATCTACTTATCTCCCAAAATTTCAGCTTTATTTTGACACCGGCAGACGTTCCAGTATTGAAGCTCCAGGGCTCAGATGCTGATGCAGACACTTCTTCATATTCATTTTCATTCTACTGCCAAGTAGAACGTACTGAATAATGATCAGACAGATTAAAGCTGCCCACATATTAAAATACAGATTTATCTTTTTATCTTTTGTTGTTGTTGTTGTTGTTAGGAAATACACATTTACTTTCAGCCAGGCCTGTACCAGAATCTTTCTGTGTCCATTTGCAGGTTATTTTCTGATCCATCTGCATATAGGTTTGAAAAGTACTTTCAGATCATCTCTTTAAGCTGTTTTCCTCTAACCTTTTCTTATTTCCCTGGAGGAAAAAATGTTGCTCAGTGAAATACTATTTTTTGATCAGCAGAATTGTCAATATACATCATACATCTTGGGGCTGAGAAGCGTTTGAGTTTTATTAGGTTGTTTTTTTTCTATGCTTTTTCATGCTGGAAATCATTACAATTATCTATACATTATATTTCTAGATTATCTGTATTTCTACAATTATTTCCTCTGGTTGTTTGCATCATGCCTTCTGCTGATGGTAAGTATTTAGCAATAGATCCCATAAAGGACTCCAGTAGCAATGACATATACAATGTTTCTTGTTTATCCAGTGTTACGAGTCCAACATGAAATTATTGAGCCAGAATGTGTTCCCATTGATTGGTGTGAAGGTTGTATGTGTGTCAGTAAATCAAAACAAGCTTAGAAAAGATAGGAAATCAATTGATATGAGGAATAGGAAAGACATAGATATTGAAACCTTTCTCATAGCTTTGGCTGTTTTTTATAAATATAATCTCACTATTTGAGCTTTGGTGGTTGTTTTATTTCCAAATGATTGCTTTGACTTCAACTGACTGATGTGCAAAAAATGGATGTCTAAGCAGGATAACAGTACACCTCAATAATAAGCTTGTGAGGAACTTTTGGTAGAAACAAAATACTGATTTCTGTTTACTAACTTGCTGAAATGCAATTTCCAAAGCAAGCATTTTGCAATGTATTATGTGTCATATTTCCAAAACCAGCTAACATAAATGGTGATGGTGTTTCCTTCCTGAGATGTACAAAGTTTCAAAAGTTTGCAATTGAAAAATGTTGAGTAACATTTGTCTCTAATTAATATTGTTTACAGAATTGTTACCCAAATGCCACCAGATGAATTGCCAGTACAAATGTGCCATTACCAGGAACGGCACCAGGTGCTACTGTGGAGATGGCTATGAAACAAGCAGTGATGGAAGAAGCTGCACAGGTAAACCAGAATTGGGCTGTAACAGGATCACTGATGATTCTCTGATGGCTGCCAGGGGCAGGGAACCAGCAGTGGGCTTGTAGGCTCAGGCAAGGAGAAAGAGAGCTCCTCCAAAACAAGAGTCAGGGCCTCCCTGCTGCCTCCTTGGTGCTCCTGTGCCTGTACCCCAGCAGTAGCTGTGTCTCCATCACCAGGAGCAGGGCCTCCTTGGGGGGCAGAGATTGGCAGTGTCTCCTGCTGCTCAGACCAGCTTCCAGCTCTTGTACGAGCTGCTCTCCAGATCTCACTACCAGGAGACCCTGTCAAACTTGTAGTGTTTCGCCTCATGCCCGTAAAGTCACACCTAGATTAGAATTTGATAAATGAGCACTCCCAAATCATACAACTTAGCTGAGAATGTTACTTCAGTGTAATTAATTGTGTGGTTTTTTTCAATTTTTAAAATAGATGGCTTCTTAATTCTCTAGGCAGGCATTTGTTTCTTGTGGTTTTTTTCTCTTTTTATAAGCACAGGGTTGTGTTGCCTTGTGCATGTGCTCACTACCAATTGCTTCTCTCTCCCAGTAATAGTGCTAAGCCAGATTCTACATAAATATAATTTATTGTAAGTTCTTTTACTCTTTGGTTGTCATGTTTTGTGATTGAAAATATATCAGAGGAAGTAATTTCAACAGCAGTTTTTTAAAATGTCAGTTTATTACTTAAACCCTCAGCCACTATTAAATAGCATATCTTGATTTTATGGTATTATGCCTGTATACCCTAGTTGAGAAAATTGTTCTTTATATTTATTAGAGAAATATATAGTTTTTGAGGTAGTGGATGACGGTTTAATGTGGAAGTTGTGACAGTTCATTCAAGGGACTATAAGACATTGCCAACATAAACAGGTTGGGAAAAACAATCAATTATTTCCTCTCTTCAAATGTTGCTTCATTCATCAACCCTGATAACTAGTGGTCTCTAAGACTAACAAGAACTCACATGTCCCCCTAACATGATATAGACATTGAATAGTACTTGAAAAATGAAGTATTTTTTCTTTCAAAAGTAATAGCTGTGAAATTTGGAGTTATTGGAGTGATTTCAACAGCCAACATCCATGATAAGGTCATGGCTTGAGAAGTAGAAAACATAAAGCATCATACCATAATGACTTCATTAAACTTTTTCTCTTAGATTTCTGCTTTTTTGTTGATTTTTTTTTTCTAATCCTTACACAAGATCTCATTAATGTTCTATTAGATTTGAATGAATGTAATATCTATGGAAGCTGTAGCCAGATGTGCATTAATACAGATGGATCATACACTTGCAGCTGTGTGGAGGGTTATGTACTTCAGCCTGACAACAAGTCCTGCAGTGCCAAAAATGGTAAGTTTTTAGCATCTTTTTACTTTAATGAAAACATTTTGTGTAGTGGTCCTATCTAGAGGACCCATATGAAAATCAGTAAAAAGGAAAATTGGCTTCATCCTGGCTCAAACCAGGACAGATAGAGGGACAAACACAGAAGAGATGGACTTTCCTTCACTCTCCTGCAAAGAACCGCAAAACAAACCTAGAAAAAACTTTTCACACATTATTACTATATTCTAAGGGAAATATTAGAAGTTATTATATTGTTATTATTAGTTAAAGGGAAAGACTCGATTCAGCCAAGATTAGAACAATTCCCAGTTTCCCTGTTCATAAATAATCCAAAGATTTTTGTCACACAAACAAAATAATCTCTTTACTCTGGGAAGAGGACGGAGATAGTGAGAAGGCAGAAGAAATGATCATGTACCCGTAGGATAATAAAAGACATGAGATTACTTTGTCCTTGAAATATCCCAAGAGGTGAATTTTGTGATACAAATATTCACACTAGGCTTTTTGTTGCTTAGTGCATGTTTCCTGTAGTAATTGTAAATTGGGTATTTGAGGAAATTAGTTAATTGTGTTTAATGAAGCAGCATTGTACACGGTGGTTTCTTATTCAGCATATTGAATTAATTTTATATCAAAACCCCCAACAGTTCCTTAAGCAATTGTTCAACATCCACAGTGATTCAACACCCAAGTATAAAGCTGTGTTTGTTATATATATTTTTGAGTGTTCCTTTTTGTAGTTTTTTTGCTATCAGGAGAAGGGTAGGTCTGCTGGTTTTTTTAGGCTTCTTCACGAAAAGAACATTGCCAAATATATTGTGACTTGAGCACCAGTCAGAGTTACAGAGTTTGTTATTGCTTGTAACAAGTTTTGTATTGATCCCTACAACACAGCTAAGCAATTTTTAAAAATCCACAGCAGAGTATTGTGAGATAAGAAAGTCTGTACAAAGTAAAAATATTTTAATATTCTTTTTCCTCCACTATATGAAAATCAATATTGCAATTCCAGGAAATTCTCATGGTGCCAGCACGGAGCTTAAAATGAGCCTTTGAGTTCCCTTCTTAGATCCAGCAGACTGTGTAACAACTGAGTGTTGAAGTGAGCTGTCACTGTCTTCGTGGCCATGATGAAATGAATCAGACTAACAGAGAAGAACCAGTCCTCTGTCTCTCTTAATGCTTCGTCATGTTTATTTTATAGTCTTTTTTTGTCTTTGCTGTTATTTTCAAAAGAGAATCACTAGTCATTAATCAGAGAAATCACTGTACAGTGATTTCTGATACAGTACAAATCAAATCACAGTTCTGCAAAGACACGAATGTTGCTCATTACATTGGTGTTGTGTTTGAACACAACTTTTCCTTGAATTAATGCTGAATTAAATTGTCAACGTGATGAATATGTGGGCCAAATACTTCATAGGGCACAGAAGTCGGAAAGATGCCTGGCACAATAATGAAGGTGCTTTCATCACAGAGCTCTGCAAGAACTGCAATGGCTTGTAAGAGTTTATGTTGCTTCACTAGGCTTAGCTCTGGAAAATGATGGAGTTTCCATGTACCAGCAGGTCACTTTCCTACACCCTTCCTCTTACATTTATAGCTTCTCTGATCAGAGAAGCTGTTTTTCACAAATTTCTGCCATGTTGATAATGTTGAAGTAGGGGCTAAAGTAGGTGTGGCCCTTCACAAATAAGCTGATGAAAAGTATCTAAAATATGTACTGGATCGCAAGTAAAAAAATTAGTCCATGTCATCTTGTTGTGCAGGGGAAGAAGTATATGTAGAAGCAGGATTGTTACCTCCAAGACACATGAATTAATCCTTCTACTTGCTCAACACTAGGAAGTTTTCAGCTGGGATGTGACATCCAGTGAGGGGCACCACACAAGGCAGCTGTGGATCAACAGAACAGAATCTAGGAATAAAAAGGTGTCTAAGGGGGAAAAAAGAGCACTTATAAAAATCATTAGATTTAAAAAAAACCCAAAAGAATATTAGGATGGAAAGAACAAGCCATCTGCTTTGTCTCTGTGAGACAGAAGTAGTCAGAGAAATAAAATGGGCCGAGGAATATTGTACTGTGTATGTGAAAGCTATGAAGCATAAGCAGCAGCAATAGAGGTTGAGGTTACATTAGGAGTGATGTGAAACTTTCAGTGTTATTACCAGCAGATCTGCTAAGAATATCAATTGCTGCCCACATTGAGATCCTAGATAGGGCACAACAGGCTACACAAACCTGCCAGCCCAACATCATGGAATCATCACAGAGTTATTGAGGCTGGGAAGACCTCTGAGCTCATCAAGTCCAACCTGTGACCTAACACCACATCAGCTAGACCATGGCACTAAGTGCCACATCCAGTCTTTCCTTACACACCTCCAGGGATGGTGACTCCACTACTTCCCTGGGTAGTCCATTCCAATGTCTGATCACCTTTTCCATGGGGAATTGCTTCCTGATATCCAACCTAAACCTCCCCTGGTACAGCTTCAGGCCATGCCCTCTAGCCCTGTCACTAGTTGCTTGGGAGAAAAGCCCAGGCCCCACCTGACTAACTCTTGGTAGTCTCTGTAAATGGAGTGGCAGGTTTCTGAATATTTATGAGTAGAGAGTGAAGGAGGTGCTGGAGGCCCCAGTTATGGAAGGTGCTGAGCAGGTGAGAGGTGTCTGTGAGCCCAGCTCTGGAGGAGCCCTGCCCTGGGGACCTGGGTGGGTGCAGTAGCCACTGGAGATCACCAGCAGCTCTTCCACAGCCTCAGAGCCCATCCTTTCACAACCATCTTTCCAGGTGTGGAACAATTAGTGAAGAAGTTCACAGAAGCTACTTGTGCACCACCCTTCAGGCAGCCAAATGCTTGGCTGTGAAAGTGCTAAGGTTTAACTCTCATCAAATTCTGCAGTTTCTTCCTCAGCACATTTAAATAACTTTGAAGCCAGAAACTTGTAGCTGCACAGTACCTTTGGGAAGAATGTTAAAACAGGTATCAAAAGAGCTGAGGGCACACCATGGGTTTTTCCCAGACTTTTAAAACACATTTTCTTTTATGAAAAAAACAGCAGTTAATGACTTCTTCTGAGGTGAAAATGGAACCAAACACAGCTTTGCTGAACAGGGTTTTAGAAGGCCTTTGTTTACCACGTTTATATGCCCATATTGCAAGGCCTGCATTTGATGGAAAGAATATATAACAAAACCAGTTGGAAACTTTGACAGTCCTCATCTTCCTTCCAAAAGTACCTTCTATGTTTTATAGCTGCATAGCCTATGTAGAGAGAAATGTGGTGTGGTAAGAAACATTTGTTATCTAGATAAAGAGGGGTGAACTGTTAATTGCTAAAGCAAAAAGCTTTTTCTGATTTTTAGAAAACATTCATAATTTAAAATAGACTTTACAGCACGGTTTTCTTGTAAGAATTCACAGAACTGACTTTTGAGGGTTTAGAAAGAAAGCAGACAGTTTGTGGGGCATATTGTGAATTGATATTGAAAATTAATCAAATTAACTTTAAAAAATTGGACTGTATTTTATTCAACGTTACTAAATACTTTTCAGACTTCTATACAATATATACAGTATTTGTACTGCTAAGAGCAAAGTACTTCAAATTTACAACTCATACCTCAGGAGAAGGATTTTTAAACTGCTTGTAAACACTGAATTCTGTTTCTTTATCCTTTTCATATCAGTGTACATGAAAGAAAAAGTTGCTGGCATTTTTTTAGCTTTTCTTCCAGAGGAGAAGTAGGACTGTTGGCAGAGCAAAACGCCTTATTTTCTGATTTGTTGTGACATCACTTATTGATCTGTATTTTAGAAAAGAGCAAGGGGGAGGGGAAATGCAAATCTTTCATCTTTTCCTCCATCTTAAACATAATTCAAAGGAAGATGCTTTCATTTTAGTCAAGAGGGATGAATCATTAAACTTTCCTGGATTAAAGAGATGTTCACTTTATAAAATGAAGGAAAACACAAAAAAAAAAGAAAAAAAGCAACAACTTGTGAAAAAATAACACACATGAAGTCCAGTTATTTGAAAGGCTGCTGTCAGCTTTCTGTAACTCTTCCTAGATAGTTCCACTACACTTCTGAGCTTTGTAGATCCTGTTCTTGAGAAACAGACAAGCATTTTTTGTGAGGGAGGGGACATTACCAGCATAGTAATGACTGGCATAGAGAAAGATGCCTTAGTTTTGTATTTTTTTGTAGGAACTTTTAATATTTTTTTTTAATAGTTTAATCAGTAACATATTTTTACTCTTTTTTAAAAAATAAGGAATTATGTAATCAGCCTTTATCTGAGCAACAGTGAAAGAAGCAGGTCACCTGCCCTACTTTGAAAAAATGTGATGAACTGTTTCAATCCCTTGAATGATTTCATGTGTGGGCTGCTTGAAAAATACAATTTCAAGCTCAGTAATCTAGTTTCTGGGTAAGTTCTACCGGAATGTAGATGTATTTTTCATGTTTCATTGTGCCTGCTGAGCAGGACCTCTTAGCAGTGCCACAAGTCCTTGCTATGCCTTTGTCAGCAGCCAGGTTTGATTAAATTGTTGCTCAAGGGGTTTGATTTTTGAGAATTCCCTTATGTCTGAGACATTAATACTAAAATACAACCTTTCTCTGAAGTTTAGTGAGGGATTCACTCATAGAATCCTAGCATAGTTTGGGTTGGAAGGGACCGTAAAGATCATCTAATTCCAACCCCTGTCCTGCAGGGACACCTCCCACTAGACCAGGTTGCTCCCAGTCCCATCCAACCTGCTCTTCAACAGCTTCCCTGGGCATCTTGTACCAGTGTCTCACCACCCACTCTAAACAGTTTCTTCCTAAAATCTCTTTTAGCTTAAAACCATTCTCTTTCATCCTGTCATTACTAGCCCTTTGCAAAAGCCCCTCCCCAGCTTTCCTGTAGCCCCTTTTAGGTACTGGAAGGCCCTATAAGTTCTCCTTGGAGCCTTCTCTTCTCCAGGCTGAACAGCCCCAACTGTTTTCATAGGAGAGATGCTCCAGCCATGTGAGAAACTCCATGGCCTCCTCTGGATTTGCTCCATGAGCTCCAAGCCCTTCTTGTGTTGGGGGCCCCAGAGCTGGATGCAGTGCTCCAGGTGGAGAGCCAGAGTTTTCAACAGGTCAGTTTGAAACAATGCAAGGAAGGTTATGGATCTCTACTGCAACCTCAGATCACTGAGCAACCATTCTGGCCTCATAACTGCAAACAGCTCCTCGGTAGTAGCTGCCTTCTTCTGAGGGCTTTACAGATTGCCCAGAGTGGAAATATCTTATTTAACAAAAAAATATAGGACCAAAAACAATTTAAAAAGATTTTTCACTCTGCTGCTGGTTGGGAAAGGAGTAATTGAATCCAGAATTAGGCAGTGGCATTATTTTGTGGGATGGAAGAAGCTGAGCACAGAGCTGTTAGATGGAAAAAGAATCCCAAAACTTAGTGGATGCAGATGGAAACAACTTTTGCACCAGTCTGGGAGCTCTCAGGAGTGAGTGTGTGAGTCAGAAGCTCTTAAGTTTGACTCTCTTCTTCTGATGGGCAGCAGAAGTTTATAAGAAGAGGGGAAAGAGAGTTACATAACCAGCCACCTGTTAGACTGCAAATGGTCCTACCTAATGGGAGATTTCCAATAAATTTGCTTAATAAGAGCCCCACTGCCTTCACTGTCAGAAAAAAAAACCCAACAAACTAGATGTTTAAAACACAGCAGACAGTGCCAAAGAACAGAATTTAATGCCTGCTTCTGTGGCTTTGAGTGAGGCCATTGAGCACTGTATTCACTGAAGCATTTTTTTTTCTTTAATCAGACTTGCTGATGAAGTATTATTTGTCAAATAATTTTGTTTATGCCATTATTTTTTTCTCCAGTTAGCTGGAATTGCTTAGTAAAATTTTGAAAACTTTATTAAGTAGAATGTTGATTGAAAGTGCTACTTTTCAATACAGCATTTAATTACTGATTTATTCCTTTGAATACAAGCAAATTACATTGGGGTGAGAGCTCTTGACTTGGCAACACAAATATTTTTCACATATATTTTATCCAAAAGTTTTCTCACCTGATAATGTGATTTAATTTAACAACTGGATGGGACAAGTAAACATGTTCTAGTGCTGTTGATCGTGTTCCATTAAGGGATTCATATGGGCATACTTCATTGCAAAATTAGACATCACTGTAATTCCAGTGAATCCTGAAGCAACTGTTAGACTCACTCTATCTTCCTCTCTCAGGGAATCTTCTCATGAGGTCCTGCATCAGCTCAGTCTTGGTTGGAGCAGGACTCTGAATGCTGAACATCATCCAATAAAGGGATTTTTCAGGGAGCAGTTTCTCTGTCCTCTTATCTTAAACAAATAGATCTGTCTGATGTTTTTCTGCAACCAATCCACATGTATCTGAACAGCAGTTCTTCACTGTAAATGGAAGCAAAGCAATGTTACCCTAGTGTTTCTAACAAAGGAGTTCTTCCCAGAATTAATAGAAACTGCTGGCGTATGGTTCTGATACAGATGTGCCCCTGGCAATTCTGGATTAAATGGGATCTGATTTTAGTGTAAAGTACTAGTCTAGATCTAGAAGAAGATGTCGCTCAGTTACTCAGTTTCAGCAGCAGAACCTGTGTAACACACTCATCATACAGACACTAATATTCATTTGCAGTTGACTAGGTCAGATGCATGATTTCAAACCAGCCCTGGATGTTGAAGACAATAATGCCATTAAAAATACACCTAAAGCAAGAAAAACTGCCTTTGTGCCAAGGAGCACTCCCCAGAATGCTGAAAGTATTTTGTCCCCATGAGAGTTGTTTGTTCCTGTGTATGTAAAACTACTTTTTAAACATTTTGTATTTTAAGATACATTTTCTTCACTCTTGGGGTATTGTTTCCTTATTATTCACAGGTTGCACAAGCATTTTTATAAATTACTGCAGGATTTCTAGGCAAAGGGATTGAAGTGAATGTGACTTTTTGTTTGTTTATTGGGATATTCTTGATTATCCAATGGAAACAACACACATTCTGTTACCTTTTTGCTGTCAGGGAACTCCACTGCATGACACTTTCTCCTTCCTAACCCATGATATTAGGCCCATCAGCTGGATGATGTAGCCAGGTTTTATTGCATTGGGTTTTCCGTTAGGTTGGTTTTTGGGTTTTTTTTAGCAGCATCCACTCCTCAGTGTTTAACTTATTTTACAGACTCTAATAAAAAAAGTACCTTACAATTTCATGTGCGCTCAGAAGTTCTGCAGATTTTCCTGGCCTTCATTCTTTTAGAAATGTCAGTAATCTGGATAGAAATAATTTGCATAACTTGTATTTCATTTTATGACTTAGGCATGAAAAATGTTGCAATAATGATACTTGGAATTAAGCAGAAGCTGTGGGGCCAGGGTAATTAATTTTCTTTAATGATGTGAACCATTAGAACAGCAGGATAAAATAGACTAGTCATTCAGAATATATGATAGTTATGAAAATAAAAACAAAACCCATTTATTATATCTCTTAAAGCATGCAGGTAAGAACATGAATAACTGCATTGAAACTGAACACATAAATATGGCATCCGCAGTGTGTTAACCCTTTAAATTCTCTTTCCTTTGTTTTTAGAACCTGCTGATAGACCTCCTCTTCTTCTGATTGCAAGCTCTGAAACAATTGAGGTGCTGTATGTTAATGGCAGCAAAGTGTCTACCCAAACTCCTGTGAAAGGATCTGCTATTTTGACACTGGACTATAGCTACAAAGAGGACACAGTTTGTTGGATTGAATCAAGAGATCTTTCCAGTCAGCTGAAGTGTGCCAAGATGACAAAAGCTGGGAAGTTAACAGAGGAGTGGATAATAAATATTGCTCAGTATCTCCATAGTAAGTATATAACAGTGTGTGAGCAAAACATTGGTGTCTGTCCTGGTAAACTGTTGCAGGACCCTTCAGTAGTATTTTGGGGCTGGCTTTTGAAAATAGTCTTAAACCATTACATTTTGCAACTCATAACACAGCACTTTTATGTTTCTCACTCATCTATATATTCAGTATGAGTTGCAGTACTTGTATCCATGCAAAATTTTGAAAGATGTGGAAAGTAGTGCTACATTAATTTTGAAAATAATCCTTTGGTACTGGGATAATACTAACAATGAATTAAAGAGACACATGCTTATGACATTTGCTGTCAGCTGTCATAGGCATGTTAGTTCTTGAGAATAAGAAAATATTTTCTGACTTACTGGAAATAAATTGCTGCCCTTTTTCTGTAACCAAGGAAAAAATAAATTAAGCTACCTAAAATCATCGTGCTTAATCAATCTTTGGCATCACAGCATTATTTCCCCATCAGCATTTCAGTCTGTGGAACACTGTTATCTTCTGAGGGAGGTGTTCTTCCACTTCTACGTTCTCATGTGAACAGACTGCAAAATAGTATGCAGTAAAAAATGTGGGATTTTCTTTATTACAGATTTTCTAGAGTAGAAAATTAATAATAATTTTAAAAATCCTACCAAAAAGCCCCCCTAGTCCCCCCAAAAAAAAACCCCAACAACAAACACAGACAAACAAAACAACAAACCAAACCAAAACAAATAAAAAACAAGCAAAAACCAGGGTTTGGATTTTCTTGGTCTTCACTCTCTGTGACTATTCTACTTTTAGAGGATGCAAAGTGTAGTTGTCCTTTTTCTTTTTCGGTTTTCTACCTATTTTATTCTTTTTTTTTAAATATTGTAATTTAGAGGACTTTCCATACTCTAAATATCTGAGGGCTCTAAAACTCTTGGTGGTAGTGTTTGATTGTGCTATTTAAAATTCAGTCTGTTATTGAAATGTTATTTTCTTTCTTTTAACTAATAACAATCAGATTAACCACAGTCCTTAGAACAATTTGTTTTGTATCAAAGCGCATGTGTGTCTATTCTGTCACTTATCTTCAGCATCAGAGTGGACTGTAGCACCAGGTTTTGTAGTTCTCTCCAGCATTCCTCTCCCTCTGTTCTCTGCATGTGGAGAGAATTGCTAATCTCTGTGGTGTTCTGATCTGCATTAGTGCATCTGTTTGCAAAACGAAGGCTGGATGATGGGTTTGAAAAAAGTACAGTGTCTGGAATTAATGAGGTAGTAATTTTTCATGGTGCTAGTACATATCAGCCTGTGGTCTCTTATATTCTACTGAAACTTCACTGTAATAATTCAGTCTTCTTTAAATGAAAAATAGAAATTCCCATGTACATGAATGGGCTGCAGAGACTTGTTCCAACTTCTTTTTAATTTTGATTTGGGAAGTAGTGCTTGGAGACTTGGAAAAGCATCATTTAGAGTGAGGTTTGGAGTTGTGACTGACCAAAGAGAGCAAACTTAGCTGTGGCAGTGGCTTTTTCCAGACACACATCCACAGCTGCTCTTCTTGGATTGCTGCAGCAGGCGAAGGTCAGTCCCCAGGGTCTGAGCATGCCTTCTCAGAGGGGCAAGTCATGTGAAACCTCCTTTTGTCCTTCTTCTGCTCCCAGCTCTGCAGTGACTCAACAGGCTGGTTCACTGGGTCATCCGAGGCAGGAGCCAGCACGGACAACATGCTGCTCCTTCTGGGACTAATAACTTCCAAAGGTTCAGGCAGAACTCATCTGTTGCAGACTTGTTGGTTGGGTTTGTTGGGGTGGTTTTTTTGTGTGTTTTTTGTTTCTTTGTTTGCTTGGTTGTTTTCCTGCAGTAATGAATGCAGAAATTGTCCCTGTAATTAATATCTTCTCTCCCAGACATATATCTGGAGTTATGCCTGCAAGGACATGACAGCAGGCTGGTGTTACTGGATCTGTTATACATGCCTGCACACATGGATAGCTCATTTTGTGGCTCCTGCAAAACTAAGCTTTAATTTTTAAATTCTTGCCTTTCTGCCCTCCACCTTCTGTTACCCATCAGGTGACTTCTGCTATTTCTCTTCCTTATATAGCACTACATCTGATGAGGCAAATTAATTAAGTTTAACTCTTTGTTTGCACAATGAGATGTTGAGGAGCAGTCGTTTATATGAAGTGTTACTTCTAGGACCAAACAAACAAATATTCTTTTAAATTACACAAAGGTGGAAAATCTCTCAGAATTTTCTGTCCTTCCAAAGCCACGATGTGCAATCTTATGCTAATGCTTTTGTGTGTTGGCAGGGGGGAGTGGCAAGAGCAGCATCTTCTGAATAACAGGATCTCCTTCACCACCATTTTAATAAACATTTTTTGAATTTGTCATTGGAAGTACCAAGCTCCCCTCCAGACAAGCACCAGGCAGCACAGCCTGGGTTTTAGCCACTGTTCTTCTGTAGAATATAACAAAATCTCTTCTGGGATAATGCTTCAGAGCATGATATTTTCTCCTTGGCAGATATTTGATTCCTGTTTCCTTGGCATTCAGCTGTCACAGCACACCAGTACAATTCCTGCAATGCTTGTGTTTAGCTTTGCCACCTGGTGGTGTCCTGTACCTCCAGACACTCCATCCTGCCTCGCCTTGGAAGGCACACAGGTCTTTCTGTTGGCAGATGTGCTTGTACAGGGCTAGTCTGGAGGAAAAGAAACCTCTTGCTTCTTGCATACTAATTCAGCTTTAATCTAGCTGCCTTCCCTCACCTGCCATATTGTAGCATAGAGGAGAAGTGTCTCTGAGGTTCAAAACAAATGGTGGACATGGAGGATCATAGGTTCCAGTGAGAAGTATTTGCCTCACTGCTTGTGGAACCCAGTACCTTCCACTTGCACTCATGGTCACAAGCCAAAGCTGACTTTCCGGCTCTCACACTTTTTGGATGTGGTTACTGTAAAGACCATCAGACAGCGAGATCAGAGGATTCAACCAGGATCCAATAGTGTCTCTTTGGTTACATTTGTTTTCTTCCATAGCTTTGGTCCCTCTAATTTACACCTCACCCCTCAACCTAAACCACTTCCTAGTAGGGATTAATCACAAAGACTAGCTCTGTGTTCAGAAAAGATACAATCATTTAGCTTGGCATTGACAAGCCTCAATCTTTGAAGGAAACACTAAGCAATAGAAAATGGGGCTTCTGTCAGCCACCTGTGAAGTTCCTGTGAATATTCATGAGAAATCAAAGCAAACTTTGCCTACTGAGGAGAAGAACTGTGAAGATCTGAGGAGAGGTGTTTATTCCTTCATAAAGTCTGCCCTGAGTTTGTCTCCAGACAGGAGTAATAAGCCGTCATGTAGTTGTAGAATGTGATTTTTCTTTTTCTTCTGTGAGAGACAGACCGTGCTTACAGACCTCCTAGAAGATGAGCAGAAATGAGAAGACTTCACGTCATGGGTCATTTGCACCTCAAATGGCACTTTAGTAGGGTTCAGAGCATTTGGTACAGCAATGGGAGCCCGAATGGGATGTGAGAAGAATATCCTAAAGAAATATCACAGTACCCTTGTCCTGAATATGGCATCCACTTGTCACTCCTGGAGAACTGGCTGATCTTGCATTGCTGTTCTTGCATTTCTAGGAAGACTGGACAGATGCTGTTTCTGGAATAGTGACCTTTCTTACTTTGTCAAAAAATATATATTTATTTATTTTTTTAATACTGTCAATATCTCATACTTAAGTGCTCTAGATAAGGCCATCATTCAGCATACAAAACTAGGATACTTTTCTCATTAATTTAATGTTTATTCACCTTGAATTTTCCATCTCATTTTACTGCCTAAGTCACTCAATGCCCTGAGGTTCTGAAGCTCTTCCAAACTGACTCTTCTTTGCTGTTCTGGAAACCTCATTTTTATTGTTGGACTTTATCACCCTGTTACTCATTTCATCTTCCAGGTCACTTGTGATTGTTATCTCACACAGGTTCCAGCACTTGCTAAATAAGTTTCCTTCAATTATACAGAATAACAGTGAATTTACCACTTACTTCCAGATAATGATTTATTAATGTTAATAGTTCATTCAGACTTCTCTGGAAAAAAGCCACTGAAGTCAACTGAAGAAGTCAAGAAAATATTCTTCTTGCATAATGTTCTTTGGATCAGGTTTTTAATATCAGTTCTTATGCCTCCTGGACCCTCTTCTCTGAGACAATATAATTATAGAATTGAAGTTGCACCGATGTTGCAATAAAAATAAAATAGGGAAGCATTTGGCTTTTTCAAAAGTACTTTTGTCATTATAGGAAAGAAGGGGACATAAAAATTGCAAACCCAAAATACTCTCTGTTTACATTCATCATCATAATAAAAATATGGTACCAGTCATGAAGCAGTTGAGCAATTACAGACCAAAGTCCATCCCAGACAGAGATTTATTCAATAGCTAAAACCATAAGGAAACAGCATCTTTTCAGCAAAGAGCCTGGGAAGTTTTGGGAATGCCCTGTGCAGCATCTGCTACATATGGAGGTGGATGCAGTGACATTAGGGTCACTTGACACAACCTCTGTTAGAATTAGCAGGGACTTAATCATGTGTACTCTTGACTTTGTCCTTCTATATCAGATGCACAATAACACAAAAAACTGCAGGATGTTTCTGAGGAAGAGGCAGGAAATAAAAAATCTCCTTCCATAGCTCAGGCAATGGAGAGAGCATTAGGATGAAAACACCAGTCCTGTGAGTTGTGGCCTCTACTAATTGCTGTTTTGGCCTAATGCTTTGTACTGCCACAGGGAAAAGTCAGTGTTTTTCACAAATGAATAAGAAATTGCATGAATTCAAGTAAATATCAAAACAAGCTACATATTTGACAAAGTAAAAAAACAGTTGTAGCATCTTTGTTGCTGCTATTTAAGCAATGACAGAAGGTGTTTCAGTCTGGGCTCTGGGCTGGCCTGCTTGTAGTACTGGTATAGCCTGGGTGTCTCTGTGCTGGCCTGAGGTCA